ACAAAGCTAGTCAGAACATTCTGTTTTTGCTTCAAATTGGGTTATTATTAAATCAAATTATGTATATGAAATTATATAACTAAATGATATGAAATGATATAAATGATATGTATATGAATTATATAACTAAAATTAAATAACTGTAATTACAGATTTAGGTTAAATAAAGATTATTTAATTTTTTTAATATTTATTTAAATTTATTTAAATTTAAAATTAAATTTATTTTAATTATTTAAATATTTTTCTTCTTTTTAGGAAACAAATCAAAGAAAAAATAAACAAATTCTACTGTTCCTAATATTCTGTATGTTGCTCAAAAAATATATTGTGTTCAGCGGAAAAAAAGTTATTTTTTTTTACCCAGTCATTTAAAAATAACACATTTTAGAGCTGTAACGACAATACCGTGATACCGTGAAACTGTGATATTTTTGCTTAAGGTTATCTTACCGTCAAAATCTGATACCGGCCCATGTCTACCTTCTAGTTGCCTCGGCATAGTAAGGTGGTTTTGGAGAAAGTATTTTAATTGAAGATCCATCACCTTTAAGCAGGTGTCTACCTAGTAACACATTTGCTTGACATTTGTTTTGTTGTGTGGGGATTGCGTAAGTTGTATTGTTCTGAAATTCCTGCGTTGTCTCTGTGGCAGTTGAATCACAGTCATGCACTCTTCTCTTCATTAGATTCACAAGCACAGTATTATTATCTATGGAGTCTGTTCTTGGTATCACTCTTCTCCTGCTGGGTCTGCTTTGGCTACGTGGCTGGCTGTTTGTGTGTATGCATATTTGTGTCAAAGTTAGCAGTACTTTGCATACTTTATCAAGAGTGTGTGTCAGAGCCAAGCCTCTGTATTATCTCTTTAGCTGCTGATAAGACCTCTTTCACTCATAAATATAAATAATCATGTTGCACGCTGTCTGAGCTGTACAGTTTCATTGCGGGAGTGTCTGATTGAGATCATTACTCTTGGAGAGAACAAATGGCCTTTTGGTGTCTCTCTGGATTTCTTTTAGCATTTTTTTTTCTGTAATATGCATCAGATGTAGCTTGTTGATTATTTAATTTTTTATTAATAAGTTAATGCAAAGATGCATTAAACTGATCAAAAGTGACAGTACTGACTTTTACATAATTGTTATTAATAATCAGTTTTATTTGTTATTAAAAAATGTTCTTTTGAACATTCTATTCATCAAAGAAAAAATGTCATGATTTCCACAAAAACATGTTTTCAGTGTTGGTAATAATAAGAAATAATTCATAAGCACCACATCAGCATATTAAAATGATTGCTGCAGGATTATGTGACACTGAAAAATATAGAGTAATGGCTGCTGAAAAATTTTTGCTTTACCATCACAGAAAACAAAGTAGTTCCGCTTTCACAACGAATCACACAGCGCCTTCACGACATGGTGGTGGCGGCAACAATACTACAGCGAGATTAAAAGTTACGCCTTCTTTCTTTGCGTGAACATTTGGGCGGTGTTATGCAAATCTTCCCACATCGTGACGTAGATATGTGGGGGCGTGTTAGAACGAGCCGTTTTAGGTAGGCGTGGCTGACTCTTAACTTTTATAAAGCATATCTCTTTGGATTTGAGACTTTAGTCTTTGCAACTTTACAGATCTTCTTTATGCACCAAGAGCTTGTAACACTCCAAAGAGAAAGGGAAAATTGAAATCGCATCATATGACCCCTTTAAAGGAACTTGAACACGTCAGTCTTTAAGCTGCATCATGTTTTCCACCCAGTTTATGGTGTTGACTCTATCCAGTGTCTTTCCCCACCTCAACATATTGGAGATGTTTGGAGGCACCACTTGATTTGCCACAAAACACTGGTCAATTATTAATTAGTTTTCTTTTGTGCCCTGGTCTGCCAAACAAACTGAATTGCACAAATGTCAAACACAGCTACGATTGTAATGGAGCGTTCATTCATTCATTCGTTCATTCATTCAAATAACATCTTCATTCTTATCCATCTTGATGCAATTGTAACAAGTTGTTTAGGGATGCTTTTGTGCATGGTGGTAACACATTAGTTATTGTGATTTTTTTTTTATATGACATCAATTTGCTTATGTACATTACACTAACAATTCAAAATATTTTAATTATAAGAATTCTGTATGAAAGGCTGCCACAGACGTATTGACAAACTCCATTGCAAAACGGATTGCTATGGACAGTCAGTGAAACACTTACATTCACTTTATTGACCTCTAAAGACACTGTTTGTTATATATGTTCACTGCTTTTGTCTGCCACAATGTTATGTCTTTGAATTATCTTAATTTGGCGGCTTTAGTCAATAAATATTATGCAAATAATTGTGATTTTAATTAATTGGCATATCATGTAATTAATTAAATAGACAGCCCTAGTTTAAATAATTTGAATTGCAATGCTTTTTTTTTTTTTCAAACCTAGTAGCAAGAGATGTCTTTGTAATATATACAGCAGATGTTGCAAGAACCTCCCTTAATGGATTTTAAAATGTTTTAAGAAAAAGTATTTTTAAACTTTGGACAGATTTAAAAGATCAGTTGGATTGTGTTGTTCACAAACTAGTCCTGGATGTTTACAGTTTGAGTAGACCGTAGAAAGCGCCTACAGTATAAAGTAGGAGAAAAATTCACTGAACCAGGTGGTTATAGATAAATAATCTTTAACACAGTCATAGAAACAGCAAAAACACAAAATTAACTTCTCAACATTGCAAGTTACCACCATAAAATGACATGTGTTTGTGATTAATGTTCTTATGACGTGATTTGACAAACATCCAGCACTTTCCATGTTGAAATATACGCTTCCTTCAGTTAGGGTCAAAAAAACCTATGAAACGAATAACATATGTTGGTGTGGATTGAGACTTAATATGTGGCTTTGTTTCAACAGTTGCATGGTCACTGTCTTTTGTTGTCTATTGCATGTTCAGGACATTAAGAGAAGTGGGACGAGCATGTGTCCTGAGTCCTGAGAACAACTGTTGTGGCAGACACAGGTTCTCACACAGAGCTTTTTTTTATATATGGTTTATATATGGTGGAGAGGAATCTAGAGGTGGAGGAAAAGTGTAAATTTATAAAAGTCTGTCACAAAGATCCTAAGGCAAATTTTGGTGTGCGTCATGTTTGATCTTGCCTTGGGCCCCTTGTGAGTCAAAACTGCTGCTATCCTTCCTTTTATGTGTGGTTTAGACATGAAAAATGAGCCTCTGACACCACAGTTTTTCTTTTACATAACATTATTAGTGTTTTCTCTGCCTGACATTCAGGGAGGTTGTCAATGAATAATAATATCACTGACAGTTCTAAAAGTGAACTGGTTGAATCATATTGTATTTTTAAATCAGTTTAAGATATAGAATCAGACTAGTTTTTTTTCAGTCAGACTTGCAGTGTTTTTATATGTTTTAATATTTTTTTTTTATAAACATGTCATTACACTTTGCACAATCTTTGATTACACAGTGTCATATGAAACTGCAGTGAGTAATGATTCCGATGCAGGTCTCACGAACCTTAACACAAAAATTGTTTCATTTTGACATAAATATCTGTTATAAGTTAGAGTCACTAACCACCCTGACAGATTTAGATAGCTCATTTGAGAGTTATTTGTTCATGAATTGAATTTGTTCACACTATCTGTTTTGCGTCTTGGTTTGATTTTGTGTTATGATCAGTACAACCTTGTGTAATTTAGTTACATTTATCATATTTTACTGTCATTTTAATACAGTCATTATGCTGGATTAAAATGGCTTCTTTCTCTGTCTGTGTCAGATGGTGAGCGAGAAGGTTGGTGGTGCTGAGGGAACTAAACTGGACGAGGAGTTCAAGGACCTCGAGAGAGTAAGTGGAGAGTATTTTCCCACACTGCAGCCAACAGACATTTCTAAAAACATTGTTTTAAACACATTAAGTAATTCAAAGGCTTGACCTCTGTCCCACACATCCATCAGTAAGATTTTCTACACCACCTGTGTTTTTCTGGAAAGTTTCTTTCACTTACAAAGTGAAATTGGTGTGGCTTAAGTGATCCAGGATTGTCTGTTTTTATAATTATCTGAAATGTTTATTCACTGCAGTGTCTTAGAATTATTTTTTATTTATTTAATAATCCTGTCCTCTATACCATAGAGATGTCATTCGGTCTCTTGGAAACACTGCTCGATATACGTTCAACTAACACTAAACATTAAAGACTTCACAGATTTGATATTGCCACTTCATTCAGGTCCTCTGTAATTATTTTAGTAAATGGTTTCGTAGAATACTAGCAAATAAAGATGAAATAAAGAGCAGTGTTCTGATAGATCTTATGTAGGGAAATTCAGTAGAATAATTATATGGATTGGAAGTGATAAAGTGTAGTCTGCTGATCATTATTGCAAAATACGCTTCATCTGGAAGGTGATACTAATGTTATTACAAATACATTTTGTTATATTATTGTGTTTTGGTTAGTGTGTGACTTCCCTGACTGGCTGTGTTTCTATAGAAAGTAGATGTGACAAATAAAGCTGTGATAGAAGTCATCTCTAAAACATCAGAGTACCTGCAGCCTAATCCAGGTAAGACCAAAAACACTCCTGGAACTTTTATTTTATCTTTGTGCCTGTTTAAGATTTGCATACATTATAGTCCTTAAGCCCGAAAGTTGAATTGGGAAATGGGACAAGGGAGGTCACATACGGGACACATCAATTAAGCCCAATATACGGGACGTCCCGGCTAATACGGGACAGTTGGCAACCCTAGTCTTAAATCATCCAGGAACTTTTTGCCTACTGTGAATTTGGACCTATTACTCAGCTCACTTACCGTTTTTCAGCTACCATATAGTATGAATGTAGGCATATTCAGATGCAGGGAAACTGCTGTAAACAGCAACAACAATAGATGCCAATGTTGACGAGTGCTTGTTTAAGGGGATTAAAAGATACCTGCAACTATAGTTTAAACGAGTACAGAGACATTTTATCGATGCTAACTTCTGGAGAGATATAGCACAGGCACTGAACAAGGATGAAACTTTGTAGCATTCATGTGTTAAGCGCCTGTGTTCACGTACACTATCAAATGGAGTATGCTTTGAAAGGCTGTGTGTTCAGCTGTATGCATGAGCTAAGCTTTTGCATCAAATACATGTATACTTTTTTCTGGCAAAACAGATGCTCACAATAAACATTATTGATCATTACTGTAAAATATATTTTTCCTTCTGTTCCTTTCACACAGCATCTCGTGCAAAGCTCTCTATGTTGAACACCATGTCTAAGATTAGAGGGCAGGTGAAGAGTCCAGGTTATCCACAGGCAGAGGGGCTGCTGGGAGAATGCATGGCAAAGTTTGGCAGAGAACTCGGAGAGGACACAAACTTTGGTGGGTTTAGAAAATGAGTGCAGCTTTTAAATCCTCAGAGATTTTGTTTGTAATTCTCCCACTAACCAAATGTACAAAACAACCTCATATGTGTCTGTAGGTGGTGCTCTAGTTGATGTTGGTGAAAGTATGAAGAGGCTAGCAGAGGTGAAGGATTCATTGGACATTGATGTCAAACAGAATTTCATCGACCCTTTACAAGGCCTGGCTGACAAGGACTTGAGAGAAATACAGGTTTGCTTACATTCTCTGTCTGTCTCACGCACATATATAATTTAAAGTTACCTGTATAATTTTTATATGATACCCACATTCTAAGAAAAAATTAGCAAAAATTGGGGTACCCTTGTACCCTGTTGTACACTTTAGGGGTACAACAGCTTGTCATTGGGGCAGTACTCTTAAAGTAAGGTTCATAGTAGTACCTTAAGGTTACATATTACTGCAATAAGGTACTAATATGCACCTTTCAGTGGTAGATAAGGTACAAAGATGTCCCTTCAAGGGTACGGCCTCAGTGACAAGCTGTTTTACCCTAAAGATGCAATTTATGCACATTTTTTCCCTGAAGGTGCAGATAAAATATGCTAAACCATTTACAAGAATTAAATATCTGCAGTTTGTTTTTATTTAATAATGAGTTGAAGAGTAATATCCTTTGTACCATAAAGTCCTCCTTTTCCTTCTTGAAGAATGGATTTTATATTTAGAGTTTATTTCCTTAACTATGTTTCATGTGGTCTGTTCCACACCGGTAGTATTGAAATGGAGAGTTTCCCTCTTTCTCAGCACCATTTGAAAAAGCTCGAAGGACGCAGGCTGGATTATGACTATAAGAAGAAACGTCAGGGGAAAATTCCAGATGAAGAGGTCAGGCAGTCTCTGGAGAAATTCCATGAATCTAAGGAGGTGGCTGAGATCAGCATGTACAATCTTCTGGAAACTGATGTAAGGATTTACCATCTGACAGCTTGATGCTTCATTTGGTGTGTTTTTGTGCTTTTGTTTCCTGGGGGTTTGTGCTAATCCTATTAGAAGTACTGAATAATTCAGTGTTTATCTGGAACACCTTGCCTTACTGATTTTGTACCAACTGTCTCTATCTTAAGAACTTGCAAAGACTGTCACTTTAGAATTAGCAGTATTGAAGATGAAAATGTTTCTGTCCTTTTTTGACTCTAGCCCATCACTGGGGTCAAGACAGGTAATCCAATAAAGCTGCAGTGCAGCCAAAAGGATAAAAATCCTCTTGCTTCTTGGCTGTAGCTTTTATCTGATGTTTTAATGGAGATGTCAGAGCGCCATCTATTGGTTGAAAAGGACAATAACTTGATGAGGGAATAAATATCTGCTGGTGGAGTCTATGGAAAAAGGCTATTTTAAAGTCATCAAGTGCTAGATGTAAAGTAATACACTGAAGACAGTATGGTACAGCTTTAAACCACAGTAAACATTTAGTGTGAACAGCTAGCAGAGCTTCCAGTCTAGATTCAGCAGTCGAGTGAGACCCATGTGAACTCAAGGCCTCAGGAATTACTCATTAACTAGGCTATTTGCTTATGAATGTCAAGTCAAGTCACCTTTATTTATATAGCACTTTATACAATATAGATTGTGTCAAAGCAGCTTTACAGTGTTAAACAGGAAAAAATATGTGCTGATAATGCAAGAGGAAAATAGAAAACAGTCAATTTATCAATTAAAGTCAGTTCATTGTTAATTCAGTGATGTCATCGTCCAGCTCAGTTCAGTTCTCTTCCGATAGTTGCCAGAAATTGTATCCCCTAATGGGATAATAAAGCAAGCCAAAGGCGACAGTGGCAAGGAACCAAAACTGCATTGGTGACAAATGGAGAAAAAAACCTTGGGAGAAACCAGGTTCAGTCGGGGGGCCAGTTCTCCTCTGGCCAGATGAAACCAGCGTGGCGTGGTTTAATTCCGGGCTGCAAGTTCATCGCACATCAGATTGTGGACTTGTCTGGTTCTCGTAGTCCTGTGCTGATGGCCGACGAGGAATGTTGTTGTGCTTTCCCAGTGTTACCATAATCGTGGATGTGCATGAGTGAAAAGTAAATACATCTTTATATATTTCAGTGTTTCCCATTCATTAATTTATTTGTGGCAGCCTGCCACAATATCAAAACTGTCCACCACAAATAGATTTTCCCAAAAAGTTTTACTTCAGAAAAGATTCGATGCCATTTTCATTTCATCTTTCCTATAATGCCTAAGTAGCGTTCATGAGCGCAAGCACGGCTTTGTGTACAGCCATTACTGGGGAAACCGCTATTTCTGCCACTCCAAAAGCGCCTCCTGCTGGCATAAAATGAATTTGCATTTTCAATAAGACCATATGCTGTTTTATATATTTCCCACGGGGTAGTGCCGCCACACATAGTGTAAGTCTGTGGGAAACACTGTATTTAATGTGTGTGTGTTCCTGTGCAGATTGAGCAGGTGAGCCAGCTGTCGTCACTGGTTGAGTCTCAACTGCAGTACCACAGGCAGGCTGTTCAGGTCCTGGATGAGCTCTCTGACAAACTCCGAGACAGGTGTGTATGTGGGCACATGTGTCTTTGCAAAGCATATGTGTTTGTTCTTTATTCTGTCGAAAGAAGCAATAAATGACTCTTGTTTAACCAACCAGGATGAAAGAAGCTCAGTCACGTCCTCGTAAAGAGTATGTGCCCAAGCCCAAGCCTGTAATTGACTTTGGAGACACAAACGAACAGTCAAACGGTGGCTTCACCCCAACATCTGCTCCACCCATGCGCAATGCAGGTAAGACCAGACACTTTACCTGTTTAACATGGTCGTAAAATACCCATTTTACCAATTTAGCTGTTCCTGGATGAGGATAGATGATCTTCATTACATTTGAGGAAATGCCTTGGACTTGAGACTAGTGAGAGAAAGGCACATTGTGCGGCCCGGTGGCAGGGTGTGATGAGACTGCCTGTACATGTGGCGGGATAGGCAAGACAAATGGACAGCTGTCAGCCAGTGACCCTGTTCTGTGTTCTCTTCCCATTACGTCATCAGAGCCATACCGCCAGTTTGGCAGAATATCCACATGGAAACCCAGATTGCGTGAGTCAGAGAATGGGAATGCTTGGGAATGTTTGTGTGTTTATGTGTGTTGGGGTGGAGGAAAAGCTTGGGGGGGAGGTTATTGGGAAGGTGCAAGAAAGTAAAGGAAGTATGAATGTGCAAAATGGCACATTTTCTAGGTGTATAATCATTATATTTTACCAGATTTTGGATATTTAATTGTGTATTCTCATGTCCAGTGTTTGTAGACTTAGATTTCCCTCATTTAATGCTCATTTAAAGATAATTTAATAACACTGTTCAATGTAACCATTAGCTATGAATGTCCATTTTCCATACTGTACATTAAATTGTTGTATGCGATTAACTTAGAATTTTAAACTACTTGTTTAATATCTAGTGATTAATTTTACATTTTTCTGTAGACAAGACTTTATAAAATTAAAATATATATGGGCCATTTATCAGCCATAAAATAATTATGGGCTTATCGTATTGTACATCCCTGATATTTTTATGTGGAGGAGAACTGAATAAGAATGTGGGGGAAGTTATGAAACGGTTACGAAAATTTGCTTTTTGTGATTTTATGAAGGGAAGTGCAAAGTTCATGAAAGGTTCAGCTCTTCATTAAATGGTAGTTTATTGCACACTGACGTACAGCAAACTACAGGTTACATAGTGTCTTGTTGGGGGGTATGTGTGCTTGATGCATATGTATGTAAGAGAAGAAGCCTGTACGAGTATCTGTGTGTGTGTAAATACATCTTTATATATTTCAGTGTTTCCCATTCATTAATTTATTTGTGGCAGCCTGCCACAATATCAAAACTGTCCACCACAAATAGATTTTCCCAAAAAGTTTTACTTCAGAAAAGATTCGATGCCATTTTCATTTCATCTTTCCTATAATGCCTAAGTAGCGTTCATGAGCGCAAGCACGGCTTTGTGTACAGCCATTACTGGGGAAACCGCTATTTCTGCCACTCCAAAAGCGCCTCCTGCTGGCATAAAATGAATTTGCATTTTCAATAAGACCATATGCTGTTTTATATATTTCCCACGGGGTAGTGCCGCCACACATAGTGTAAGTCTGTGGGAAACACTGTATTTAATGTGTGTGTGTTCCTGTGCAGATTGAGCAGGTGAGCCAGCTGTCGTCACTGGTTGAGTCTCAACTGCAGTACCACAGGCAGGCTGTTCAGGTCCTGGATGAGCTCTCTGACAAACTCCGAGACAGGTGTGTATGTGGGCACATGTGTCTTTGCAAAGCATATGTGTTTGTTCTTTATTCTGTCGAAAGAAGCAATAAATGACTCTTGTTTAACCAACCAGGATGAAAGAAGCTCAGTCACGTCCTCGTAAAGAGTATGTGCCCAAGCCCAAGCCTGTAATTGACTTTGGAGACACAAACGAACAGTCAAACGGTGGCTTCACCCCAACATCTGCTCCACCCATGCGCAATGCAGGTAAGACCAGACACTTTACCTGTTTAACATGGTCGTAAAATACCCATTTTACCAATTTAGCTGTTCCTGGATGAGGATAGATGATCTTCATTACATTTGAGGAAATGCCTTGGACTTGAGACTAGTGAGAGAAAGGCACATTGTGCGGCCCGGTGGCAGGGTGTGATGAGACTGCCTGTACATGTGGCGGGATAGGCAAGACAAATGGACAGCTGTCAGCCAGTGACCCTGTTCTGTGTTCTCTTCCCATTACGTCATCAGAGCCATACCGCCAGTTTGGCAGAATATCCACATGGAAACCCAGATTGCGTGAGTCAGAGAATGGGAATGCTTGGGAATGTTTGTGTGTTTATGTGTGTTGGGGTGGAGGAAAAGCTTGGGGGGGAGGTTATTGGGAAGGTGCAAGAAAGTAAAGGAAGTATGAATGTGCAAAATGGCACATTTTCTAGGTGTATAATCATTATATTTTACCAGATTTTGGATATTTAATTGTGTATTCTCATGTCCAGTGTTTGTAGACTTAGATTTCCCTCATTTAATGCTCATTTAAAGATAATTTAATAACACTGTTCAATGTAACCATTAGCTATGAATGTCCATTTTCCATACTGTACATTAAATTGTTGTATGCGATTAACTTAGAATTTTAAACTACTTGTTTAATATCTAGTGATTAATTTTACATTTTTCTGTAGACAAGACTTTATAAAATTAAAATATATATGGGCCATTTATCAGCCATAAAATAATTATGGGCTTATCGTATTGTACATCCCTGATATTTTTATGTGGAGGAGAACTGAATAAGAATGTGGGGGAAGTTATGAAACGGTTACGAAAATTTGCTTTTTGTGATTTTATGAAGGGAAGTGCAAAGTTCATGAAAGGTTCAGCTCTTCATTAAATGGTAGTTTATTGCACACTGACGTACAGCAAACTACAGGTTACATAGTGTCTTGTTGGGGGGTATGTGTGCTTGATGCATATGTATGTAAGAGAAGAAGCCTGTACGAGTATCTGTGTGTGTGTGTGTGTGTGTGTGTGTGTGTGTATAAACGTGCGCTTGTGTGTTGGCCTCAAGCACAGAGTGCTGCTCCACCTAACAGAGTGATCCCCTGCTACAGACTGAAACTGGAGGTCTTCTGTCACATGACCACAGACCCAGGCTTTGGCACCCGACCCCTCACTAACACAGAGCACCTCATTCTAACCCAGACGGTTGTAGTGGGATTAAAACTGTGTGTTAAACACTAACACATATGGCACTCCATGACTTTGGTTTGTCAGACTGGTCTGGGAAAGGTTAACATTTTAATTTACTGCTATGAAACACACTTATTTTAGTATAATTTCAATATTACTGTTTTTTTTTGTTATTGTTTTTTTTACTTTTATTTTTAAATTTTCAGTTTTCATTTTAATTTTAGTAATTTTATTGTGTGCATTTGTCTGTTATGTATCTATAATTTCTATATAGCTTAATTTTAGTTTTAGTCATTTTAGTATTTCAACTTTTCATCAGTTGCCATGGCAACATTTCTGATTTTTGTTTAATTTAAGTTTTCATCTGATATTTAGGTATTATTTCAAACTTATTTGTTACCGAAAACAATTTTAATATTTTTGTTAACAATGCCAGTACTGCTATGAAGTATTAAAATGTTTAGAAAGCATTTTATTGGTTCTTTAGTGCATTTCATTTTAAATTAATCTCATAATGTTATTTTATTTTATTTTTTTCCAAAATAGAAATAAGAAAATATTTAAAAAATTTCAAAAAGGGTCAAATTTGTATTTCTACAATGAATTTTGGGTGTGTATACACAACCTGAATGTGACATTTAATTACTTTAGGACTCTAAACCTTGTCTTATTTGTTTCTCGAGAAATCAGTTGCCATGGCAACATTTCTGATTTTTGTTTAATTTAAGTTTTCATCTGATATTTAGGTATTATTTCAAACTTATTTGTTACCGAAAACAATTTTAATATTTTTGTTAACAATGCCAGTACTGCTATGAAGTATTAAAATGTTTAGAAAGCATTTTATTGGTTCTTTAGTGCATTTCATTTTAAATTAATCTCATAATGTTATTTTATTTTATTTTTTTCCAAAATAGAAATAAGAAAATATTTTAAAAATGAATTATTTTTGTCTTTTTCAAAAAGGGTCAAATTTGTATTTCTACAATGAATTTTGGGTGTGTATACACAACCTGAATGTGACATTTAATTACTTTAGGACTCTAAACCTTGTCTTATTTGTTTCTCGAGAATGTCAGATATTGGTTTAATAGGTTTTTTTTTTTCAACATTGTTTTGTCTTTAGAAATGTCATTTAATAAAAAAACGTTTCTCCAGACAAGAACAAAATGTCTTTAAAATACTTATATTATCTAACCCATGAGGATGTTATAGTTAAATTACTGTTATAAGTGCCAACAATATATTTCCTTTTCAGTTTTTACTAACATCCCTTATTCCCAAAATCTCTACTTAATATCCCATTCTCATTAAATCTCTCCATCTCGCCTTTTAGCAGCTGAGCAGCCGTGCTGTAAAGCGCTCTATGACTTCGATCCGGAGAACGAAGGCGAATTGGGCTTCCACGAGGGTGACATCATCACTCTGACCAATCAGATCGATGAAAACTGGTATGAAGGCATGCTGCGTGGCCAATCCGGATTCTTCCCTCTCAACTACGTGGAGGTGATCGTTCCTCTGCCACACTAAGAGGTCTTCGTTGAGGAAAAGAGGGGGAGAGAGAGAAAGAGCGATAAAAAAGTGAAAGGGAGAAAGCTGGAGGGAAGTGAGGGAGGGAGAAAGGAACCAGTTGAAGTCATCTTGGTCTTCATCCTCACCACATTGTTGCCGTTGATCCAAATGTACCTGTACTCTGGCACTTTTACACATTGATTTATTTTTTGAAGGAGGGAACTTTGGGAAATGATGACCTTTCACATTCCAGGACTGACTGACTGACCGGTTGACTGACATATGGACGGTATAACCTGGTGCTTAAGCTAAAATTTCAGACACACTAACTCGCTTCATTGTCCAGGTCTTTTAATAATGTCTCATACTGTTTGTGCTGCATTAACTGAAAAGAAATGACTACAGACTATGATGTCCCTGTGATAAAATTATCATGCTTTTAAATAGTAGACAGGCTATTCATAATCAGTACAAATTCTCAATTGTTGGATTGTGAAAAGTTGCGTTTTGACTCGACTGGTCCCCTTACTGTCCCTGCTGGTCAGGCTGCAACATTGACCTTCCTCAGATTAAGGTGAAACTGCCTTGTATCTGTGATGAGCACTGTGGGACTGTGCGTACAGTGTCCCAATGTGCAGCAATCCTGAGCCACAGACCTGTAGAGAGGAATTAGTCCTTTTGTACGCTCCATAATTTTAACATTTTTCTATAGCTATTTGTCATCTAATATTTTTTCATGTATATTTTTTACAAGATAATAGAAATTAGACGCTGAATTGCACCTTGCATTATGTCGTAAAGGTGAGCTAAAACACCTAAGGGATGTGTTGCGTCAGGTAGAGAGGGTTTTACTGCACTACAACTGTTTTGAAACACTTTGCACCCCCTTTCAACTTCTAACTCACTAAGGGCGGCAAACAAACCATTTACACACTGTTTTCTGAAGGAAACGGCCAAATAGTTATTTAAATGGAAATGCCTTCTTCCAGCAGCCTGAATAATGGAGTCTTCCTCTCTCTTTCTCCTCTTTTGATGTCAGTTTATGGTAGTCTCTACATCTGATGCTGCTGGCAGTGTCCCATTATTTCAGGTGTGTATATGTGGGCGTGTTTAGGGTGGATGTTTGCTCATAAGCCCCATATTAAAGTCTAATTAACACAGAATATTTTGACATTAAAAAATAAATCTTCCCATCTTCAGAAATGAAGGGATGGTGCTACATATCTTGCTCTCCCCCATCATTGGCAATGTATTTTTAGAGCTTTAAAAGTGGTTGAAGATCTATTTTCTTCATTACTCATTGTTTTTAGGATGTTTTTTCAAATACTGAACCATCACACTCCATAAAAGCATGGACCTACACGCCATCCACCCCGACTCCAAGTCCGGTCTGGATAGAGCACCTCTGTGTCCTTTTCCGCTCAACATCGGTTTACATGTCTTGTCCACGGTTTGTTTTGCTCACCGTAACAGACCGTTGTAGATGTGCTGAAGCAGACAGGCTACGATCACTGTTTCAATGTGAAAAAATAGTTTTAGTGCCTTTTCAATGGCAAGAATGGATCTAGAAAACCAAACAAAACAATTATGATTTTCGAGCTAATATGTAGTTTTTGTCTGTCCTTTTTCTTTGTTTACAAAGGGCTTGTTGGTTTCAGTATTTGGCATGAGCTGTGACCAGATGTACTTTCCAACACTACAACTTTTAAGAAAACAAATGTGTTATTTCAGTCTAATCGAATGAGGGTACCAGAATGATTTTCATAAAAATAAATAATTCTGGTACTGTTCTTTTTAGTATTATATATATTTTTTTTATATGCATACAAAACCATTCAACCTTTTTATTAATGATTTTTGCATGTTAGTTTAATAGCAGGCTGATGTATGTTGTAGTTTTAAAGTCTCTTGTATGTTTCAGATTTAACTGCATTATATTGTTATTCTTAAATATCCCAAACCCTAAATATTTGTATCTTATTGTGTCCACTCGTCTTTAAGTAAATAAATTCAAGAAAGTACTCCATTTGTTTTACTTGTGTATGGTATCTGTATCCGTTTCTTTAATTGTATGGTAAGAAAAACATTGTTACGAGGTTAGAAGCCAGAAGCAAATGGAATCGGCACATTTCATTTGTTCCAGTGTATATTTTAAGGTATTCAGCAGGTAAAAGGCATTGTTCCCATATTGCGTAGTCAACATGGCACGAATCTAACCACACAAACGGATAAATACTAGCCAAAAGAGAGAGAACTCAAAGTACCCATCTTCTTCTCTTTCCTAACTACCCACCAAACGTTTCTACCACAGAGGAAGACAAGTTTCACAGCACAGATATGGCAGAATCGTATAAACCACAGCCAGTGATGCAGACCTAACAGTCCTAAAGGCAACAGTTTGAACGGAAGCATATATGATATATCCTCCATGAAGGCATTTCATATACAGTATAACAGTGCACAGGGTGGGAGGTCCCAAGTCAACAGTTCTACAGTTTAACACAAATACACAGACATAAACTGCTCCGGTCACTGAGTGTTGCGCAGTTGGTTGTACACATGCTCCAGGATCTGTGCGTATGCCTGGTCTTTGGGTGCGTGGCCACTCAAAGAAGCCTGAGGATGAGAGAAAATGAGCATTGCTAGTCAGACATATAGTCATGCTTTGCTTTGAGATTATTGTTAAAGGCACCAACTCTGCATAACAGATAAAGACAACTTTAAGACATCAAAATACTAACTTTTTTCTTGCAGTTGCAGGTTTATAAATGAGTGTACATCTCACAATTCTGTTTTTTTGTTTTGTTTCTGCCACATAAAAAAAAGCAATTCTGACTTTCTCAAAATTCAAACTTTTTTTATTGCAATTGCGGGTTTATGTATTTATATTGACAATTCTGAGTTTATATCTTGCAAATTGCAATTCTGCATTTGTATCTTGCAATTCTTGAGCTTATACTTCACTATTCTCGCAATTATGACTTTTGTCTCAGAACTGCAAGAAAAAAGTATGAATTGTGAAATTAAATTGCAATTACCTTTTTATTTTTTTATCCTGTAGCAAAAGAAGCTTTCATAGTTAAGTCTGTGCATATGCAATTTAGAGGTTTTATTTCAGACTAAAGCAGTAATTTCTTATTAAAATGTCAAGGAAAATCTTTAGTCCTTCTGAAATTATACCAGTCCGATTTTTGCGAAGTTGATGCTATCAAAACATGGTATCCTGACCAGTCTGACATAGCAAAATTGGTTTTAATGTGAGTTTGGACAGTCCCCATTGTTGACACTAGTGGTATTGGAATTACACACTTCACCTTTAAGAATATTCTTAATGATGTTAATTGTAAATCATGAAGTTGATATTGTATTTTGTTTGTTTGTGTATGAATGAAGGAGAGAAATTATGGCAGACCTTGATTTTGTCGAGTATTGAGGTATTAGGGCTCCACATCTGACTGAACGGCACAAGGTCAGGAGCAGACCGGTAAAACTCCACCAACAGCATCTACACACATATAAAAATAAGACGCATCAGTCTAAGCTTCTCACAAGACTTTACACATCATACTAATTCATTCTACAGGATGTAATTTAGACGTTGGTTTAATCTAATCTAGACTGAGATGTTATCTATAGCTGCAGGAAACTGAAGAGACAACCGGTGAGTGATTCGCTTCAAAAACTACTATTTCCGAATCACACTGAACTGTAAAAGATATTAAAATCCCTGTTTTCCCAAGATAGACATTGTTGCATAAGTTTAGCATGCTAGTTGTTCTCGTACCATCTCGTTGAGCACGTCTGTAGTGAGGAAGTTGTCTTGCACGTATGTGACCTCTACCGCCACTGGGATGCCATAATCATTGGGTCGTTGCTAAGCGGAAGAAGAAAATAAGAGCAAGCTACTATTTTGGCATCAACAGCAAAAAATTTCAATAAATGTTTAAGAGCAGTTACCTCAGGAGGGGGAACTACCCAGAATGGCGTGATGGTGGAGGCCACACCTTGGTTGCCATGGTAATAGGGCCCTATAAGTGGTGGACAAATAAGACAAAAGACATAACACAGATCATTCAATAAAAGACGGGCTGTGTTGCGTAATAATCATCTGTGAAATCCATCACACACCACAGATAATCCCGAGACAGGGCTGGAAGCCGTTACTGCTGCCTTGTAGGCGGAGCTGGTGATCCATCTGTGAATCGATGTCCTGCAGAGACGGAAGGGCGGGGTCTCGTGGGTGACTGTGATACCATCCCACCAATGACAGTCCCCGCATGAAGAGATTTTGGCAAATCTGCAACACAGTTAATAAGGTAAACTGCTCAGACTATGGTACTTCACTATGTTCTTACAACTAACAAAATGTTTTTTGCAGACTAACCTCTTCTTCGACAGCTGGGGCGGCATCTTTATCTCCCAGCCGTGTACGGCAAGGGAACGCCCTCAAGACTGTAAGCACTGAGGAACATGAAATATACATTTTGAGTGTTTCTAACCTTCAATTTGCTGTTTGTTTGTACAGTAGTTACAAAAATGATCACTCTTACACTGTGTGTTAGTGTCCCATCGGCCCCCCAAATACCCCACCACCTCACTTGTGGTCAGGTGACAGTGAAAATCCTATGAATAGAGGTGGGTAAAAAGGTTTATATTGGCTTCAACTGTTGAATCTCTTTCATATCATCAGTACTGACTTTACTCTCTTATTGTAAAATCATAAATCCATGAGCACTTCAGACCATTAGCAGCAGAACATTGCTGGACACTGCTACGTTAAAAGGTTGGAAGCGGTTGATCGCAGAAAAGGCAGACAGTTCTACGAGAGTGTGAGGATCCCTGTCAAGACAAACACAGAAACACTTAGGTACACTACCACTGGGGTCAGTAAGAATTTTTTTTGTTTTTGAAGAAAGTGTCTTATGCTTGCAAGGCGGAAACTAAATACTTGTGTATGTTTTTTTTTTTTCCAGTATGCCTTTCTGAATAAAAGTATTAATTAAAAACGGTAGTGTATATCAGAGATCATAATTTCCATAATGCACTACAGTGCATTATTTCTGTTTCTATCAGTGTTTTTCTGCCTCAAACTCAGAACCGAATAATTAAGCTTAAAGTCCTCAGGCAGGTAAAACAAGGTGCAGTAAATGTCGTATAAAACTCTATAACTGCCATATAAAAAAAGAAACATTATATTTGTAATATAATAATTACCTTGCAGCATCTCTGGTGCCAAGAGTGCAATACCTGACTGGAATTCTCTCTCTGTCTCTCCTCTGCATCAGGCTAATGTCTGGAGAGAAAAAAACAAACAAACAGGAAATAACAAATAACATATATAAACAGGCCAAGTCATCTTTACTAATGCCTTCTCAGGTGTCCTGTTTTGATATGAGGAGTCTAGGTGATTGTGAAGATGTTTCTGTGTAATGTTTATGTAGATGACGACGACATACCGTGCAGCTCAGGTTTGGACTTTTTATTCTTGTCCTCTACTGGCATGGCTGTTTTCCCTTCCTCTTCGTCATCATCTCCCATCTCATCATCTTCTCCTTCACTTACCAAACTCTGAGGTAAACAAATCAAATCATACACAAATTGCTGGCTGCACCATGATTGTTTATATTTATTGTAACTCATTTATCACCTTTTAAAATTTACATTTTGCAACCTCATTCTTTTCTTTTGACTATTTCAGTTTTCCTCCATTGCTCACCATGTCGGCACTGGGCTGGTATTTGTGTAGCCAGGTGGTTTTGTACTGGACCAGTTTCTGTCCCCGGTAGCGCACCGAGGCCCAGCCACAGCCAGACTTCTTGGCCGGGTTCACCAGACGCTTGCAGTGTGTTGCCCAAGCGCTTGGAGAGTTAAAGATCTGCCCAGTCTCCACCCAACGAATCTTCCCATCATTCAAAAGATCTCCAACAAACTTTTTACCCTGTGGAAAAACAGACAGAGACCTTACACCTGACCAGAAGAGTATTAAAGTCATAGTTCACCCAAAAATAAAAATTCTGGCATTATTATTTACCCTAATGACAATCATGGTTACTATTCAGTTTCATTTTATGGAAAAAAAGAAAGGCGCCTAGCTATGACATTCTGTTAGATCAGGGGTTTTGTTGGTGTAATCTTTTAGATGTGATGGCCCCCCAAATATGATTATCTTTGTGGTTGGGACCCCCATCCTAAAATTTAAAAGGAAGCTATATATTTTCATGCATAAAGACAATTTACAGTGTGAAAAATCAACATTATATGTAAAATATTATTTGAAAAATATTTCTATTACATTCCATTTTTATGTTTTTTTTTTCTACACACTATAGTACTGTAATCTTTATGCAATGTTTTAAAATGTAATAGTTTTGGGTGAACAGATTTTCATTTATTTCCTTAATGATAGAAGATGTAAGTGGTAATGGCCCTAATGATGTAATTTCTGGACAGTACCAGGTAGTGTATGGACAGAACGCCGTCTCCAGGCTCCACAAGACCATCCTTTAAGAGGACTCTCAGTGTGATGCCTCTCCTGGTCAGGAGGGAACCCCTCCCAGAGGAGGCCCTAAGGTCTGCATCTTCAGCCCCACTCAACTCCTCATCCTCTTCATCCGCTCCTTCCTCAACCACCTGAGGAGATGAGGGTGGCTCGGAGCCTGAAGACAATCAACAGACAGAAACACTGAATTAATACAGGCAAGAATACATCATGCATATTTATTCATATAATTTTAATATTAATGAGGTGAAGTCATATCTAAACCCTTGCAAAGAGAATAGATATCTATATTAATAAAAATCACATTGGTTGAATGGAAAATGGAATTTAGTAATTTTTTTTTTTTAATGAAAGTTTTATGTCCTTCGATCAAGTTAAAACAGTTTTCAAATGTAATCTCACAAACTTGTACATCGTAAAATTATAATGTCCTTTAAACAAAGTCTTTACTCGGGACTCTGGACTCGTATGTGGGGAAAATACGGCTTTTATTTTGGGACAAAAATGGTAAACACAGCGAAGCTCTCATCAGGGAATCAGCGAACGTCCGCTGCCATCTCCATCCGATAAGCTTTTTTTCAGAAATTAAGACAAAACGGTTCTGATAATGTGTCGAGAAACGGTTCGTTCTTCGCGTGTTTTGTTCTCGCTCCTCTCCGCAACCCCGCGGCCTAGTAATTAATAATTTCACCCTCTTATTAAAAAAATCACTATTTTTTTATTCTCACCCATTTCGCGATAATCGTCGGAAAACGCTTTGCTCTGAAACTTCTCCACAGACTGATGTGTTGTCTTTCTTTCCGCCAGTTCAGTTCAGTTCAGCGGTGTTAATGTAACACTTCTGTGCGGACACTCGCCACCAGGCTGTTATTCAAAAACATAAAACGAAGGCGTGTGTGTGTCTGCAGTGTAGTTTCCTTGTGTAGTGTTTCTTTAATGTCAATTCCCCACCCCTTTCTCCCTCCTACCCGTCCTTGTCATTTACTCCCCTTTATAAATTAGCGGTGTTTGTGGTGGTAGTCTCTCCAGCCCGGGGGGGGAGGTGTTTTGCATTGCTGTTACAACGGAAGACATATTCGCGGAAATATTACAAGCAAATTGGCTGCCATTATTTGCCATTTTTGTGTTTATATCAGTTTAGACACAGTTTCTAATGGCCCTGGACCACGGTCAAATGAGCAGTCGAATGGGACCCAGCAGTGAACAGTTGGTTTGAATGGGTGAACATGCGTAAATATTATAGGATTTACGGTAATGAATGGACCGCAGTGTCTAATTCTGGCCGCTAGATGTCGTCGTTCTTTGAGTTTTTCAATATACACTGCATATTGAAAAACTGTAAACACATATATGAAAATTATCAGCACAACAGCAAAATCACCATGGCATCAGCCCAAACCTGAAAGGTTTAAAAAAAAAAAAAAAGATTCTCTGAGCACATACTATATTTATTTTAAACAATATAATCAAGAAAGTGAAGAGCCAGCCGTAACCGATTATAGCCTACCTTCTGAACGTTTCTTGTTAAAATCAAAAGGATGTGAAATTGGTGTTATCAAAGCGTTTATTTACCGGAAGACTTTTTCGAAATTAGCGTTAGCCTACTTTTAACCGGGTATCCCCCCATATGCTTTCGTATAGCATACGTGCCGTGCCTACGGGGGTGGTTATTTGTCTGCAGCCAGGTTTACGGTTCTTCTCAATAGGTGGGACTTTCGTGCCTCCCGGCATTCCTCGAGCACACCTGACTCACCTGTGTTCAGGTAAGGGGTGGGGGATGATGACAGCACGTAGATCTCTTCAAATAGGCATTTGACGGCAGTTGTGTAACTTTTAGTCCACAAGCTTTCTGTTCATCACTAACTTTTTATAAAGCTTTAGCACGTGAGCTCTAGTATGAATTTGAAAGTTTAATAACGCATTAAACGCGGACGTTGAGGCGGACATTGAAGCGTCTTCTTTCAAATACTTGAACTGTTTTCTAAGAAGTTTGAAGTTGACAGGAGTATAACTTATGGCAGCACCAAATCGTTATAGACGAGTGAGATCTCAGCTTCCAACATGCTATTACGAAGGATTTCTGGAAAAGAAATCGATCAAAGACAAGGTGAGTCAGTGTGTGCACGATGTTTAAGCCACGATTTTATTAGGGGCATCTGTGTTCATTGCTAGGGGAAAATAGCTTAAAGAAATGATCTCCTTTGGATGTTTTAACTAGGTCTTTAAAAAGTGCACCCCAAAACCCTTAGACCCCTTAGGTTTAAGTTGTTATCAGCAGGGTTATTTTCTTCTACAGCTGTTCCTGTATATTCGTCATGTAGCCTATAGTTTAAATGGTTGGGTTATATATAGTGCAAAAAGTGAAAAGTCTTTTCCTTACGAAACGATACTCGATCGGACGCTTAACAATTTAATCAATTTGTGTAACCCATTCAGTCAAATGTATCCATTCGTAGTATTATTATTATTATTAATATTATTTTAAACGGTTCATTATGCTAAATGTTGCCACCCAACTTTAAATGAAAATCTTTAGAAGTGTCTGGTTTGCAAAAAAAGAATGAGCTAGTTATGCATTTTATATGGTTCAGTTTGTGTTTAGCAATGTGAACCATCCTCTTATCATAACCACGGGTTATTCCTATCTTTTACTATGTCACGCATTACTAGTGTTACTGTACATTTTTAATCAGCATTTATCCCAGTATTTCTGTAGGATCATCCCTCTCTAAATGGCTCAAACAGTCATTTGAATTCTTTCATGGTTAATCTTCAACATATATTTCGTGTCTTTAACTTCATATATATATATATATATATATATTCCTAAAATAAATATAGTTGCCTGTTGTCCTTGGAAATATGCATTTTAGTTTGCACCTCAGTGGATAATAACACATATTTATTAGATTTTTTTTTCCTAAGTACCCATAATGCTAACCCTGACCTTTGTAGCAGGAATTGTGCATTTTTTTTGAGCAGTAGGCTATTTATGGACACAGCATGTTCTATGAAATGCTTTACATTTCAGTGTAAGTAGTAAATACACCTAATATAAAGATGTGATCAGACACAGTATGTTCTATGAAATGTTTTACGTTTCAACATAAGTAAATAGTAAAGACACCTAACATAAATATGTGGTCAGTGATCCTGAAGAAAACAGGAGTTTCCTGTGACCATCAAAGCAGTGTTACACAAGTCTCTGTCGCAACATGGAAACTCTTTTCCTACAAATGTGGAAATGCCAAAAAAAAAAAACTGGTCTGATGGCATACTTGCGTGCAGATCGGACACTACAGATAAAAGATTTGCATTTAGTGATGATGGTTTTAGTAAAGACGGGTTTCTTTACTTACATTTTAGGTCTTAGCTCTCATCCAGCTGGTAGAGGACATCACCACTAACCCATTTGTGAAAATTTGGTCTTTTATTTGTTCATTATTTATTGCAGGTCAGCACAGGGTAAATATTTTGCATCATGACATGCGCTTTAACGATACACATTCCTTATAGTTTAGGTTTATAACTAATATAAGTCTTATAACAATTTAATTTCATGTCCACTGGTTAAAATTATTATAAAATAATCATGCCTCTCTGGGTCAAGTCTTGTTTCTGAAGTGTTTATTATGAAGAAAAGAATTTTCCATTGTTTTCTTCATTCTTTTCATTCTTAAAAAACTGGTTCAGTCTTTCCACGGGTATGTATTTTATGAATAAACTCAACCTCTGTCAATAATGACAAACATATGCAGTATGTGAAAACACTACATATATGTACATAATCTGGGATTAAAAATCTAATTTAAACCTGGAAATACACAGAAATGTGATAATGAAAAATTAATACGAAATATTTGTTATTTTTCAGAAGTTATTTGTTTTTAATATTTTTATTCAGAAAATGTATTTATTTTCAGTAAATGTTTATTTTTCTTTGCACAGATGGGTCGTAAACTCTGGACCAGTTTATGTGGCAATGTACTCTTTTTCTACAATAACACCAAAGACAGTGTTGTAAGTGATTTTTATAAGCTGCCTTTTCAATTTAATTTTACTAGCTGCTAGAAAATAATTTCAATGTGTGTGTGCATTTTGTATATTTGCATAAATGTATTCAAATGCAAGCTTGCAGGCCTGAAGGCTGTTTGATTCTGTATATGTTTGTCTACATATAGAACAGATTATTTGTGCATCAACTGTTTGCTTGTGCTTGTGAACGCAGTATATAGAGAAGCTGGAGCTCTCTGATCTCGTCTCCGTGAATGATGACTGCTGTCGTGTCCGAAACCTGGACGCTGCTAGATTCACTCTGCACATGAAAAATGAAGACGTCAAGATGATTGTAGGGCTTCTCCCATCTCTAATCCTTTTATGTAAAACTAACTCTGTGAAAAATAATCTTGACTTTGATTTTACTGCCATACATTTACAGCTGTTTAACCTATACACTTACAGCTGTTTAAATAACTTAGAGTTATTTAAATCTGATAATACACAGGTACCCATGATGCATTTTTCCTCTGTTTTCTCAGGCCCCAAGCCTTGAGGCCCGTGAACTGTGGAAAGGCTTCATGCTCTCAGTTTCTAAGGTTAGTTGGGCTTCTGAAAAACATCTTTAATATATAATGGGGTCTAAAAATCGGTTAGAAATGAAAGTAAATAAATAAATAATATCATATGAAAATTTGGAATTTCCCCCATTTTTTCATGTAACGGAAAGTTTTAGGAATTTAAATATTATTGATATATTTGGAATTTTATGGAGCTCTGTTTGCTAAGTAAACCCACTTTACCAAAGTGAAATTATAAAGACATCACTAGAAATATGAAGGTACAATATTTAGAGGATATCTCCTCATATGCATTTACACTATAACTATTAAATAACTAGTTATCAAATAACGCTGCAGACTTTTATCAGCGTTTGTTCAGACAACGCACAATGGCTTGATCTTTTTCATGTGTAAAGGTAATTGTGCTGTGATTTCTGATTCTCATCCTTCTTGATCTCAAAGGCTAATGTTCACTAAACCAGAGAGTTTTTTTATTTATTTTAACTTGAGTTCATCTATGTGATGAACTGTCAGTACCTCTATATGACTTATCGATTTGTCGGCATATGCTACAAGAAACGGTCCTACGTCATACCCAAATTATATCAATACAAAATAATAATTCTCACTGTTTCTGTCCTTCAGCTGTCTGTGCCAAGTTCTCTGAACCTGCTGCCTGGTCAGATTCACATGATGAAGGAAATAATAGAGAAAGAGAAAATAAGGCAGCAGCTTCTTTCATCTCCTCCACCACCCTCGGCTTCTGACAGTTATGTTACTGTACAGTCAGACATGCCTTCGTGAGTTAAAACCACTTGCTTTATGAATGATAACATAACATCAAAGTTTAAAGGTGATGTGCGTAATATTTTTGATGTTTAAGTACTTTCTCCTGGCTTAATAAGAAGGGACGACAAACTCAACTCAATGGATTGGGTGGGACGCAATTATCAGTTTGGCAGAGCAATGGCAGATAGGGAGGATGTGGGAAAACTCTCAGTATTTTTGACTGCGATACAAAAGTTACACACTTAACCTTTAATAATGTATTGTTATGTGAGTCACAACATTTACATGCACTCATACACGCATACAGATGTCATTTTGCTTTTCCTTATGCCGTTTAGTAATAATAATAAACTTTATTTTTATATAGCTCCTTTAATGCAGCTTCTCAAGGAACTTTACATAATAAAACAAACAGATAAAAACACAACACATGCAGAACAAAACAAATTAAAAGAACAGACTAGAATATAAAATGTAAGATAATCAAGAAAAAGCTAACCTAAAAAAATTGTTTTTAAGTAAGATTTAAAAGTACTTAGATTCTGTGCATCTCTGATATAAGAAGGGAGTGCATTCCAAAGTCTAGGAGCGTAGGATGAGAAAGCCCTGTCCCCTACAGATCGCAAACGTGTCTGTGAAACAGCCAGTAAACCAGCTTGTGAGGAGTGCAAATGACGCTTGGGTGTATATAAAATTAAAAGTGCAGACAAATACTAAGGGACCAGACCATGTAGTGCCTTATATGTGAGCATTAGGATTTTAAAATCAACTCAGAACCTGACCGGAAGCCAGTGCAAGGATTTTAGAATTGAAGCAATGTGTTCTCCTGACTCCAGTCAGGATCCTTGCAGCAGAATTTTGCACACATTGCAATTTGTTGAATGTAGTTTTAGGAACCCCTGCAAGAAGTGCATTACAGTAGTCAATTCGGGAAAATACAAAAGTATTAATAAGCCTTTCAGTCACAGATAGGAAAACATAGGGCGGAATCTAGCAATATTTCTGAAATGAAAACGGATTTCTTAACAGTGTATTTCATATGTTGGTCAAAAGACAGACTCGAATCAAATATAACTCCTAATTTTTTTTTAAAATTCAGATTGTAACTCCAAAACAGAGCCATTTGCATTTAAAATAAGTGAACCAGCTTTACGAAGCTGATGAGAAGTGCCAATAAGCAAGACCTCTTTTTTTATTATTAAGACTTTTATTATTAAGTTTGGAGATATCCATGCTTTTATCTCAAAAATACAATGTGATAAGAAAGGAATATCGATGTTTTGACCAGGCTTTGAGTGAATATAATATAGTGTTGTCTGCATAAAAATGATAATTAAGCCCAAGTGATCTTAAAAGCAGAAGCAAAAAAAGTAAGGGGCCTAAAATTGAACCCTGAGGAGCACCCGTAGGGACAGAGCTGACCTAAGACTGCTCATACAGATAAACTGTCGACGATCAGAGAGATATGATCTAAACCAGGATAAAAGGGTCTCAGAAACACCAAAGACAGTTTCAAGAGATTGAAACTGGTTAAGAGATTGTGATTGACAGTATCAAAAGCGGCACTAAGATCAAGAAGGAGAAGAATGGAGAAAGAACAAGAATCTGAGGCTCTTAACAGGTCATTGGTGATCTCGACCAAGGCTGTCTCAGTACTATGAAATTTTTGAAAGCCAGACTGAAGGGGCTCAAAAAGATTATTTATTGTAAAGTGATTGTGCAGCTGCAAGGCCACAATACGTTTTAAGATTTTTTCAAGAAAACGAAGGTTTAATATAGGGCGATAATTATTTAAGTTATCAAAATCAATATTATGTTTTTTTTTGGAGTTATTTGGAGCAGTTTTCAATGCTGCTGGTACAACACCAGTACGCAGAGAATCGTTAACAATGCTGAGAACAGCTGGGCACAAAGAATCAAAACAAGATTTAAATAAGCTTGTAGGGAGGGGATCAAGTTTGCAAGTGGTAACTTTCATATGTGATACCTCACTAATAAGCAGCTCTGAGTCAATTTGATAAAAGGTAGTAAAAGATGTGACAGAGAAACTAGGTAATCAAAGTGTTGAAGAGGAAACAGGTGTGGACCTTGTCAATTTTAGAACTGAAATGATGAAGGAAGTCATTACACAATTAATTTGAAGCAGGCAGAGAGGCGCCAACATTAGCGTTTAGACGTCAAATTTTTAGAATGAAAGGGATGCCAAGAATCACTTTGATTATTATCTATAATGTGAGAGAAGTAAGCAGATCTTGCAGACACAATTTCAGCTCTATATTCCCCCAAGTGGTCTTTCCATTTTTGGAAAAATACATTCAAGCCTGAGGCAAATGTGAAAATGATGTACAAGGAAGAGGCAATTCCAGATTTAAAAAGATTGCCATATGATCAGACAGACCAATATCAACAGAAGACAGCTGTGACAAAATTGCATCATTTGCAATCACAAGGCCTAAAGTGTGACCTTTGTTGTGTGTTAGGCCACTAGTAAACTGTGTAAGATTAAAACAGTCCAGTAAGAATAAAAGCCCTTTGTCATCTTACAGTCATTTTGGTCAATGTGTATGTTGAAATCCCCTAAAATAAGGATTCTCTTGAATTTAAAAAACAACATTGTCAGCAAACTCAAACATAAAAGCATGTTTAAGGGATTAAAAGGGTAGGCACACTGCACATTTCATTCACACGCACGTGAAAATGCAACCTCAAGCCATAGTCACACTAGACTTTGGATACTGCAAACGGTCATTATAGACAGTCATTTCTAGCAATTTCTGGTGTTCACGTGAACATATGTGATTGAATGAATTAAAATAACCATGCCTGTTATGTAATAATGCAATAATGCTTTGTGCAGGTGTTATCGTAATGTCACTCGTGTCGAAGCTGAATACTTGTTGGATAGGAACACTGATCGGGGAAACTTACTGCTGCGGCCGGGTCATGATGGGACGTCTTTTGCCCTCACTACACGCCAAGATATTAACGGGTAAAACACACGCTCTCATCTGTAATCAGTACAGCACCATGTTGAATGCTGGGTAGACAGCTTGCACATGCATTATCAGAGATTGCTGGTTGCCCTGAAGAACTTAATTTATTGTAAATTATCTTGATCATCTGAATTGAACCTTAGACTTTGATCCTTTGAATAAAGCATATTACACAATAGTCGACTTGTTCTGGGAAGTTAAGCTTTAATAAAACTGAATATAGCTGTATTAGTTAAGAATGAATAAATCCTGAAGACTCTTATCTTGTGCCCAGCAGACCTGTATTCAAACATTATCGTGTGTCTCGGAGGCATGAAGGAGGATTCGCCATTGTCCTTGAGACTCCTGTAAGTAATAGTTTACGTTCTTTGATTTTCAAATATGTGGGGGCGTGTTTGAATGAGGCGTTTTAGCCCGGTCTGGATCACCCATCTCTTCTTTAGATAGAATAAATCCTTTTGTGGGAGACTTTGAGCTTTGTAACTCTGCAGATCTTATACATGCACAAATAGCTACATAACGCACTAAAGAAAAGGAAAAATAGAAATCGCATCAGATGACCCCTTTAAGATTAAAAGCCTCTGATAAATAATAGATTACATTCACAATATGCCCGATAAAAGCTTCAGTCTAATAGGAAGACTCTCAGAACATCAAATGATTTATTTAACCATCTGCAAACTGGTAATTTTGTGTGAACTCTGAGCTCTTGCACAAGGCGCTTTGTACTTTGTGTCTTAATGTGTGATTGTCTTATCAGAACTTCCTCTTTGCTTTCAGAGCAAAGTTTTATGGGTCAGTGTTGGGAATCAGACGCAGTGGATCAGTACAACTGATGTGTTATACATTAAACATTTCTTGGAAGTCACCACAGGGCTTTAGAAACTTGTGATAATTTGTGTTTTGAGCAGCTCTATCTCTTGACTTTTCTCTTAAACCACACCCTAGAATTGTACGTTTTTGATCTGAAGAAAAATGGCATTCGGTGGTATCTGACTGCACTGTAGTTTTTGTATATTACAGGATATGTGTGTTTTTGTGTATTTAGTGGTGAATTCTTCTCCAGTGAGCAAACATACATTAAGTACTACTGTACTTTAGGCTTATCGCCACAATCAAATCATTTACTCTGGTATGTTAGACAATGTGAGTGTGTTCACACAACATGTTCACAATCCCACAGATCACCTGTGAGACCCTGCATGATGTCGTTAACTGCCTGCTGGAGAAGACCAATGGAGTTTTGGTGCCTCTTCTGATGGAGGAACACTATGAGAAAAATATCAGTAAGAGACTATTTTAGTAGTGTTTTTCATAATTAGGAAAAAACTTTTTTGTCAGCCAGACTGACGTATTTGTCGGTATGAATCATACATCTAGAAAATGTTTACAACACTATGAATGATGGATGACATGTAGGTTACAAAATAATGTCACCCCATCGTAGAAACCACTAACAGAATGATTGACACACTGAGATGAACTATTCCACTGTTGCTCTCAGTTTTACTTAAAATTACCTAAAAAATTTAGACATGGGTTTCCAGTTGGTTGACATTTTTTTTCTTTGATTGCTGTTTGAACATACAAAAATACATTGCACAAAACATGTTTTTTTCTAAGAAACATATTTTTTTAAATGTTTGCTTAAGTTCTTTTTGGTTTGTTTAAAATATTTGTTTAAACTAAACATTCCTGTCCTCCATAAAACAAGTGTTTCAAGCTTTCATTCAGAGTAAAACAGTAAATTTGAGGCAAAAACATTTACAAAATAAATAAAAAAATGCTTGTAAAATTGCCCGAGCTGAAACAGTGCTCTTTCAGTAAGAATATGGTTTGCATAAACATATTGGTAGAGAACTAGTTTGTTCGGTTGCGTGTAGTTATACTTGTCATTCCATTCTAGATGAAAATTGTGGTTTTGGTTCTCTCTTTCTCTAACTTAATGAATGCTGGCATTGTTTGTTTGTATTGATTTTAAAGTTGAATGTTACACAGTTGAGACACATTCTCCACAGAGCAGGGCAGACATTAGAGTTTTATAGCAAACAATAATGAATATATAAAAATAACATTGAGTATTTTAAGAGAAATAACTGGCAACCTCATGTGGGCCATTTTAATAGGCCTGATTTATACTATTCTTTTTTCTCTCTCAGCATTTTTTGAGACCGATAAGGAGAATGGTGAGAGAAATGTGCATTGTCCCAAAGTCCCTTTGCCTACTCCTCTAATGCCTCCCCCAAAACCAGGTAATACATCTTTAAATCATCTTTATGTACAAATGCATACTGTCAATTAAATTATATATAATTTTAAACATATTGTATTGACTTTAATGTGTGTCTAATTTAAACTGACAGCTCTACTCTTAGAAGTAAATTAGACTGATACCAGAGCTGAAACAGCTTTTTCACAGTGAATGTGGTCTCTTTGCATAACAAACACATTGGTTGAGAAGTAGTTTGTTTAGCGTGATCTAATACTCATTCCATTATAGTTTAAACCGGTGGTTTTGGTTCTCTTTTTCTGACTTAATGAATGCTGGTATTGTTTGAATGTATTGCTTTTAAAGTTGAATGTTAGACAAATGAGACACACTTTCTCCACCGAACAGGGCAGACAAGGAAAACAGTCTAAGAGAAATAACTGCAACCTCATGTGGGCCAGTTTAATTAGGGTGACCATACGTCCTCTTTTCCCCGGACATGTCCTCTTTTTGGACCTACAAAAATACGTCCGGCCGGGATTTCTTAATTGCCCAAAATGTCCAGGGATTCAGCTGTTTTCTATATCCCTCTCCCGCTGAATCTCTGACCATTGCCGCCTGCTCCCGCAACATGTGTTTCGCTCCCGCGATTTTTGTGTCCACTCCTTTAAACATTCTAATATTGTGTATAATTTTGGCGCATCAGGGAGCCGCTCTCAGGATGCGGTGTATTTAAATATTTTTGAATGAGCGTTGGCGCTGTTCACTTTCACTTTCGATTTCGCAATCACACGCACTCTGTGTAAAGGGAGCACATCTTACAAGATCAGATATTTGTCAACGAGATCAGGATCTGTTGAGCAGCAAATACTTAAGCATGGTCTTGTCAGTCATCTCTCCTTATTCTCGACCTGTGATCAGTCAAAGCTGACTCCGGTAGCTCTTGTTGGATGCAGGGTTGCCAAGTCCGCGTTTTTTCCACAGAATTGGGCTACTTTTAAACTGTTGCCATGGGTTGATTTTCCCAAGTGGGTTAAACGTTTGAAATATTGCATAAATTATATTTGACTGAAATGCTTGTATTGAAACATTTTGCATTCTACCTATGATAAAACTTTCATGGTCTTCTACATTAACTGTTCCCTCCTGGTGACCTGCCCAGCTCAATCCAAGCAGCTGAGTCCTTAATATTTTCAAGAAACGGCTGAAAACACATCTCTTTCATCTTCATTTGACCCTCTAACTCTAGCACTCTCTATTCTAATGCTACTTCTAATTTTATCTGCTGTTTTTTTTTTTATTTAAAAACTTGATCCTCTAACATTTGCAC